AAGCCCATGGCATTATATACATAACACTGATGCACACAAACACAATTTACACACTTATGCTCACTCAGACATACACTCATCCACATACACAAGCTCACACAAGTACTTATTCATATACACACACACACGTTTGTTCACTTACTCGCATATGCTCATACACATACACAAGCTCTCACATACTTGTTAATGTAACTACACACACACACACATGCTTGCTTACATGTACACACTCAGGCATACTCGCACACACTTATTCATGCATATAAATGTGTGTGTGCATCCAGGGGCTGTTCAATAAGCTGGTGTCCCTGACGGAGGAGGCGCGGCGGGCCTATAAGGAGATGGTGAGCGCTCTGGAGCAGGAGCAGGCCGAGGAGGCGCTGAAGAACGTCAAGAAGGTCCCGCACCACATGGGCCACTCCAGAAACCCCTCCGCCGCCAGCGCCATCTCCTTCTGCAGCGTCATCTCTGAGCCCATATCTGAGGTCAACGAGAAGGAGTACGGTGAGGAGAACACACACTACAGCACACGTCACCTCTTTAAGGACTCTGTAGGGTAAAATTGCCTTGAGTCATGCTGAAGCGCGCTTGTCCCCATCCCCTCTCCCCCTCGGCCAGCACTCACACTGATTTTTGCCTTCTGAGCTGGAGCACGCTTCCGTCATCAAGGATGCTCTGTTCAGTTTAACTGAAGAGAAGTGCTCTCGCTCAGCACGGTGGACACTGCTGCAGTTATATCGCTTTGTGTTATGTTTAGTTGTCTGGGATGCAGTGACCCTGCACGGGCCTTAAATCTAAGCTCTAGCCCGGCCCTAAGCCTGTTTTTTTCCCGCCAAACAGCTATACTGTTACAGCCATTCAAATAGATCAGAGCTGTAATTAATCGTAAGTTGATGTTTTTTCGTTTTGTATCAGAATAATTTAGAGAAACATTCGGAGAAACTTTTATTTATTTTTATTTTTTAAATGTATGTAAGGTTATGATTTAGTTTAAGTCACATCGATATTTAAGTGGTACAGTATGTTGTCCACAGTGAGTTTACTCAATTTAACCCAGCGGTGCGTGCAGTCATACGGCTATACACACTGTGCCTACACCTACCATGAGAGGGCACGAATAATGCAGCTTATTTATTATTATTTATTTATTTATTTATTTATTTATTTATTTATTTATTTATTTAATTTTTTAACTATTTATTTATCTGTTTATCTATCTATCTATCTATCTATCTATCTATCTATCTATCTATCTATCTATCTATCTATCTATCTATCTATCTATCTATCTATCTATCTATCTATCTATCTATCTATCTATCTATCTATCTATCTCTATTTATTTATTTATTTATTTATTTATTTATTTATTTTTTATCTATCTATTCATTTATTTATTTATTTATTTATTTATTTATCTATTTAATTTTTTATCTATTTATTTATCTGTTTATCTATCTATCTATTTATTTATTTTTTTATCTATTTATTTATCTATCTATTTATTTATCTGTTTATCTATCTATCTATTTATTTAATTTTTTATCTATTTATCTATCTATCTATCTATCTATCTATCTATCTATCTATCTATCTATCTATCTATCTATCTATCTATCTATCTATCTATCTATCTATCTATCTATCTATCTCTATTTATTTATTTTTTTATCTATCTATTTATTTATCTATCTATTTATTTATTTATTTATTTATCTATTTAATTTTTTTATCTATTTATTTATCTGTTTATCTATCTATCTATTTATTTATTTTTTTATCTATCTATTTATTTATCTATTTATTTATTTATTTATTTAATTTTTTATCTATTTATTTATCTGTTTATCTATCTATTTATTTATCTATCTATCTATCTATCTATCTATCTATCTATCTATCTATCTATCTATCTATCTATCTATCTATCTATCTATCTATCTATCTATCTATCTATCTATCTATCTATCTATCTATCTATCTATCTATCTATCTATCTATCTATTTATTTATTTATTTAATTTTTTTATATATTTATTTATTTATCTGTTTATCTATCTATCTATCTATTTATTTATCTGTCTATCTATTTATTTATTTATTTATTTATCTATTTATTAATTTATTTATCTATTTATTAATCTATTTATTTATTATTTATTTATTTATAACTATTTATTCATGTTTCTATTTATCTATTTAATTATTTATTAATTTATTAATTTATCTATTTAATTATTTATCTATTTATTTGTTTATCTGTATATCTATTTATTTATTTATTTATTTATTTATTTATTTATTTATCTATTTATTTATCTATTTCTTTTATTTCTTTATCTATTTGTTTATTCATTTAATTATTAATCAATTTATCTATCTATCTATCTATCTATCTATCTATCTATCTATCTATCTATCTATCTATCTATCTATCTATCTATCTATCTATCTATCTATCTATCTATCTATTTATTTATTTAATTTTTTTTATATATTTATTTATTTATCTGTTTATCTATCTATCTATCTATCTATTTATTTATCTGTCTATCTATTTATTTATTTATTTATTTATCTATTTATTAATTTATTTATCTATTTATTAATCTATTTATTTATTATTTATTTATTTATAACTATTTATTCATGTTTCTATTTATCTATTTAATTATTTATTAATTTATTAATTTATCTATTTAATTATTTATCTATTTATTTGTTTATCTGTTTATCTATTTATTTATTTATTTATTTATTTATCTATTTATTTATCTATTTCTTTTATTTCTTTATCTATTTGTTTATTCATTTAATTATTAATCAATTTATCTATCTATCTATCTATCTATCTATCTATCTATCTATCTATCTATCTATCTATCTATCTATCTATCTATCTATCTATCTATCTATCTATCTATCTATCTATCTATCTATCTATCTATCTATCTATCTATCTATCTATCTATCTATCTATTTATTTATTTATTACATAATTTAAATTAATTTAATAAACAGTATACACTAAGATATACTGACAAAGCAAAACAGAATGAGAACAAATAAAGGTGTGTGTTTGTGTGTTTTAAAGTGTGTATGTACTTGCATGGTGGGAGATGGGTAAAGAGATCTATTGGCTTTAGTTCTGCTGGCGGTTTTTACACACACTAAAAATGACAGTTCAGTGAGCGATTGTTTAAAACAAGGTTCAGAATGAGTAAACTCTCTTTAAAACAGCTAAACTTAATGGAGATGTTTGCCAAAAGGCCTAAAACTAATGAGACAAGTATTGATCCCCCGCATGGGGTGGAGACAGCAGTCTCATCAGCACCTGAGCCAGGGGAACTCCAGGCCCAGCCCGCGTCTCTTTCATCGGACAGTTCAGATCCGCCAGCTGCGCAGCCTTCTTGCATGGAATCACCACCATTCAAGGGGTTTTAAACAATTTAAATTTAAATTTTATTTCGCATAGATTATTATTTTATTTGACAATCCAGCGAACTTGTTTTGAAGCACTTCACCTCAAATGGTTTTCGTTCTTCTATTTTAGCTAGTAGATAACTGACCAACAATATATATATTAAAACTAAGAGACGAACTATACGAAATTCACACATACAAGCAAAGCATAATGGGTAATTCTGCGTTCCATGAAAAAGGTCTTTAGGTGAATTGATGAACAAAATTGGCTCTAATGTATTAATGAATAAACATATTATGTCAGAGCAATTTTTTATTTTGCGTTATGCGATTTAATAACGCTCATAAATCTGATTAGCATGTTTGGATGGAAGCACAGCTAATAAAGCGAAGTCTAAATGTGAGCAATCCCTGACGTCTGTGTTTCTGCTTTATTAGAGACCAACTGGAGGACGATGGTGGAGAACGCAGACACTCTGGAGTCTGAGCCCATCCTGACCAGCAGGAGCAGCAGAGAGCAGCAGGACGTCCCATCAGCACCTGCGCAACCCAGCGCTAACGCTAACCCCACTATCCCCACGGGGCGAGAGGAGTCCCGTACGGATGACCGGCTGGAGTGGGCCTCACAGCAGAGCACAGAGACCGGGTCGCTGGACGGCCAGCTGCACTCCTCCATCACCAGCACCACCAGCACACTGGTGCCCGGCATGCTGGAGGAGGAGGAGGAGGAAGAGGAGGAGGAGGAGGAGTACAGCTCCGCACCCGTCCCACTGCCCGCCCTCAGCTGCAGAATCGAGAGCTGGGTCTCCAAAACCCTGGAGAACCTGCAGCTGCGCAGACGGAGCAGCACCGAAGAGGAGGAGGAGGAGACGCGGAGGAGTGATGAGGAAGAGGAGGAGGAGGAGGAAGAAGAAGAGGAGGAGATCGAGGCCTCAGACATCACTGAACCAGCGGCAGATCATAAAGAGGAGGCGGAGGCTGTCACTGGCTGATGGACACACACACACATAAACACTCATGTACACACACACACACACACACACACACACACACACACACACACATATATATATATATATATATATATACAGTATATATAAAGACACAGACAGATGTCAGACTGTTAACTCACTTTTATCATCATTTGCATGAAAGTGCAATTATTTACAGAGTAATAATAAGTATTTTACTATAACACTTTTAAAACTAGGATGATGGTTCAATATGAATAGAACAGATCCAAGAACTGTCCATCCCAGTCAAAACAGTCAAAGTTTAGCGGGTCTCATGCTGTCATTAGCCAAAATATCTTGACAAACCACACATAAAGGTCGTGGTTCATCAGCTGGTCCTGTCCACGTAAATCCTAAACTCAAATACTGATCATCATATCGTCGTCTTTTGGGTTTAAGCCCTGAACTTGAAGGCTTTGAATCGGGGGGTCTCAGAAACCGATCCATTGTATTAGCAGGCATATACCTGTATTGGCGGGCTTGCCAAACAGAAGCGAATTCACAGCTATGGCCTTCTGGGTAAAAAAGGTTTTTAGCTTTGTTTAA